TAAGAATGTGGATTATGAACCTTAGGTGTATAATCAATGGGAAAATTGGAATAAAAAGCAGTGGTGTGAAAATTTTTAATTTTTCTTGAAAGTCTTGATTTTTCTTGAAAACCCTAAGTTGACTCATGATGATAATTAATGATTTTGCCTAAATTGAAAGTAGAATCATGAAATTGAGAGGTTGAATTATATATGTACAAGTTTAATTGAATTTTTAAAGTGTTTGAAAATTATGTAAAAATTAGCGAATGAACCTTTATTATGGATATTGCAAATCATGCTATAATATGAAATGAAATTTGGGAAAAAAGATTTTTTAATGATATGGATGACATGAGCCTTGGGATGAAATGATGAAATTGAGATTTAAGAGTTCACCTTGAATTATATTTAGTGGTGTTGAATTAAATCATGTTGAATTGTGTTGACTATGTTGAATTGTGTTGAATCATGTTAAGTTGTGTTGGGTTTTGATGAGTCGTGTTGAGTTGAGTTGTGTTGGGTTGTGTCGAGTTGGGTTGAGTTGTGTTGGGTGGTGTTGTGTTGGTACCCCCGCGGGGAGTTGAAAAAGGTTTTTGGAAGCCCACATCCCGCCGTATAGTAGCCGGCAATCGTGGGGGTGGTATTGAATTAAAGGTACCCAATTGCCCTGTCTAGGCTTATCGCTGGACAAATGTGGGAAAAATGATTTTTGGGTGTCCACACAGTCCCGCCGTATAGTAGCTGGCAAAAGTGAAAAAATGATTTTTAGGTGTTCACACAGTCTTGCCATATAATAGCCGACAAAAGTGGAAAGACGGATGGTTTTCGAAAATGTTTTGGGTGCCCACGTCCCGCCGTATAGTAGCCGGCAAATATGGGGGATGGTTTTAAAAAGTTGAAAAATGATTTTTGGGAGTTCACTTCCCGCGTATAATAGCCGGCAAAAGGTGAAAAGTGTTATGGTTTGGGTGCCCGCCATCCCGCCGTAGTAAGTCGGCAAAAGGTGGATTGTGTTGAGATATGTATTGAGAAGTGTGTTGAGTTAGTGATGTTATTTGTGACTTGTGATGAATCTGTGAAATTGCAAATTGATGTGTAATTTGGTATAAAGAGGAAATGTACATAGACATTATTTGTAAAGAATGGAACCCAAAAATAGTAAGGGGATTATGGATTGGTGATAGTGAACATAATGAATTAGTTATGACAATAAAAGTAATTATGAGTGTTGTTCTGTAAATAAACGAGAGATTGAATTGAAAGGGGTTTATTGATCTTGTGTTATCTTGAAATGAAATTTGAGAGTGTAAATAACGATGTGAATTGAGTATAGGAGAATTGTCAGTGAAACAAAAAGGGAACTTGAACTTGAAGTTATGGAGTTCTAAATAAGTATAATGAGTAGAAAGGAAGAATGAAAGAAAAGAGGAATATTAAAAATAGAAATTAAATGAGAAATATTTTGGGAATTAGCTAATAATTTTTAAATGATGTTGTTTCTCAAATATGTTTGTTTCACAAGGATTTATGGTTTTCTAAGGTTAAGGGATAATTTTTAATGGCTGAAGGTTTTTCTTAAAAGCATTTAAATGGTTTTTGAGAAAAAGGCACCTTACTTAAGATATTTTGAAATTATAAAATGTCACCCTACTATATAGTATCATCCTACATGCATGATCATTTCTATCTGTGTGTTAGTTATTGATTCAGAACTATGAGATTCCTACTGGGCATTAGTGCTCACCCCTTGTGGTTTTATTTTTTTTTACAGGAAGAAAGTTTGGATTCTTTGATTGAAGAGTTATGGAGTCCTTTTGTATAACTTCATAGTTGATGTAAAGGAAATAGATCTTGTATTTGTATTTATTTATTTGTAGCTTCATAGTAGGAGATTGGCATGGATTGTTGTCATTATATTATTTATTGAGAGAGAGAATATGTATTATTTTGTTTCTATTACTTAAGGGTAATAGGCATATATATAAAATTTTAAAAAAAATGGACCTAAATTACAAGCTTTTGGTAATGTTTCCAAATAATTAAAAAGTTTGGGCGTGGCAAGTTTTGGGTCAGCCAACCATTGTGCCTCCCGGAGAGGTTCTCTTTTGAGATGTCTAGTTTCATAACCTTGCTACAGATGTTTTTGTTTTGTTTTTCTTTTTGGTACATTGGGCTAAGTTCCCTTTTTGGCTTCATCTGTGTATATGGGTGACGTAAAACTAATGTATTTATGACGTCACATATATATAAGTTTGTTTTAAATATTTCTGTTTCATATACATTAACACAGCTCTATGGACTATATATATTTCTATATTTGCTTCCGCAACCTCTTATTATACGTCATTATGTTAAGAGGCCTTTGGTAATTTAAGAATGACTGGCCGGTTATGATGCTAAACTTACAAGAGTGGGTTTGGGTCGTGACAATACTCCCAGAATACCTAATAATCATCCATAATAGTATAAGATTAGCTACAACTTGGATAATAGCATGCTCAAACTTTCATATATCGATAAATTAAAGAAAGCGGGGCCTTATTTGGCGAGTGACTTTTTTGACTAAAAAAGTCACTAAAAAAATCAAAAAACCAACAACCTATACCAAAAAGTTAAAGATTCATTTTTCTCTCCATTGTTTGCACATCTTTTTGTAAAAAATCAAATAGTCATCCCAAACATACTAATTTTTTTTACATCATATTTTAACTAAAAAATCAAAAAGTTACTAAAAAAGTATGTTCTCAAACGAGGCTTAATTACATTGATCTATCCTACTCCATTAAAGTTTAAATTAACATAACACTAGTATACACAAATTTCTTGTACGCAAAAATAACGACAAAAAAATAGAGTAACAAATATAAATTTATTGATTGATTTGAAATTTTGCATGCTTACAACACCTTCAACATAACGAAAAAAATATGATACCATTTGTAAAGCAGGTTATTGTAATTATGTCAACACAACATACTTCAGCAACAATTTAAATTGAGTAACTAGTTGAAATATCCTCTTCATTGTTTCACATGTTGCACAAATCTTTCAAAATTCTTTCAAGAAGATCCACCTTTCTCAATGCCGTTTCTAGCAATTTCCTTCAACTTCAAACTATTTGCTTTTATATCATCATCAGAAAGCAAATTAGTGTCTTTATTTTTTTTTATTTGAATTATTTTGATTAATATTATTTTTGAAAAGAGTGAGGATGACTTATCATATTATTTTGAATTTTAAAATTCAAAATTGTAAATAGTTAGAACTTTTTTTGTTTTTGGATTTTTGACTTAAGGAACTAACCAATAGATTTTTTTTTTTATTTCTTTAAAAATTAACAAACTAACAAAATTAATTTGGGAGTTTGAAACTTCCACAATCATTATTCTTAAAAAGATCATTTTCCTTATATATATATGTATATATATATAGATTCTTTTTTATCACTAATTAAAAATAAATAAATAAAGATAACCGATGATGATAATAATGTAATCTTATTTATTTATTTTAATAGTCATGTGCTACTTACCTAAAAAAAAAAAAAAAAAAAAAAAAAAACCTCCAAAATTTAAATATGTGAACAAAATGCTTTTAGAATTATTCATGCTTTCCACTGTTTATTTTTTGGTAGCCAATTCCGTGACTTTTGGCGACTAAATTAGTTTTGGTAGCTAAAAGTGGTCGGCAAAAATGCTTTTTCTTGTAGTGTACCTTCATTTATGTATATTAGGATAATTACATTCAACACCCTTGACAAATAGTATAATTACATCTTGCTCCGTTAATATGGGATAATTACACCAGTCTCCTCTCACTTTAACTGTTGTGTATACCCATTATGATACATTTTGTTAGTCTTACCGATGTTTTGACTATGATGTCAGCATATCATAATATGAAATATCTAAAATACTCTTAATTATTTAAAGTAATTAAATAACCCTAACTGATTGAAGTGATATGTGCTCGTTGATATGTATTGATATAAAAGAAGAGGAAATGACTAGAATGCACATAAATTCACTCTTGTTTCCATTTGCATTTCATTACAGCCATGTATGGGAGTCTGAAGAAGGTGAAAGTGGCCATTTGAGGATCTAAGGACAAAGGTCCCGTCCCATAAGAAGGAAAAATTCATTACACAAAGGAAAAAGATCCGGACCTCCACTGGGGGGTCACCCCCACGACCCCCACTGGCCTGTGATTGTCTAGTTTTTTTTTTTTTTTTTTTCTCCTCCAATCACCAACTCCCACATGTGTATGGAGGTGGTGGGAGTGGGGGTTTGAAGGTGTCTCAATCACATCCGTTACACAAATAATCTAAAGGTAAGAAAGAAAGGCATTCACCATGTTTGGATCTACTTTTTTGAGTTATTTTTTTATAATTTTGATTTGAAAAGTGACTATTGTTTGCTTTCACTTTTTAATTTTGCAAATGAAATTCAAAACTCCCTCCACATTGGATTTTGGGCACCGCAAATGATGAAGTTTAATAGTAAAATAACAAATAAAAAAATAAGAATATATCACATCAAAAGTAGTGAAGAATCTTGGCATGACAATCAAACAAGAAGAAGTTTGATTTGGTGAAGATGTAACAAACAAAGCAATAGGTAATCTGTTGAGGCAAGTAGAGTTATTAGTGTATGCTCTGTCTATCTAATCACTTTATGTCAAATACAAAATATTTCTCTATTTCCCGAATGCTTCTAGAAAATTAGATTTTGAATTTTTTTTTTCCTTGATTTTTTGGATAACCAAACAAAAAATCTAAAATTTCCTAAAATTGAATTCAGAATTTAGGAACCAAACCGCGTGATTGAGTTTGAGATTAGGCTTCTATTACACTGTGATTTGTCTTTTGTTAATAAAGTAGGATTTGATATATTTCACATACATGACCAAAATGGTAATTTGATAAATTTCATCTTTTTTTAGTTTCTACTTATCATTATAACTTGAAAATTGGGGAATAAATCATTTTATTTGTAGATTAAACTGTTGAGGATGAATACTTGGATTATGAGGCATTTTATTTTATTTTCATTCTGCATTTTAGAAAACTTCATTTCTTATTTCAACAAAAATGATTAACATTTCAATTCATGATTTTACAACAATGCATTGAATTGCCAGAGTCTAACAAACAGTAAAACTAGTTGCATCAATCATCATCTTCATCACTGTTTCAGATTTTGGACAAATCTTTCTAAATTCTTACAAGAAGATCCACCTTTCTCAATGCTCCTTCTAGCAATTTCCTTCAACTTCAAACTATTTGCTTTCATATCATCATCAGAAAGCAATTTCTCAATCTTGTTCTTAATTTCGTGCCTTGATACAATCTTATTTTCATCGTGTTCCAACCTTAAACCAACTTTCCAGACATCACAAATATAGCTTCTGTTGTGAAATTGAATCCTGGAGCCTCAAGCTTCCGGTAGAACGCCTCTGTTCATCACTCGTGAGTAGTGGTCCGACAGGCAACATTTTGGGAACCAACTGGGAAATTGACGAGTTGAGTTCATAGAATGGGTTGCACATAAGACAGGTAGAGAGTTCCACACTTTGGTTGATGGACAGAACATTTTCAAAGAAAATCTTCTGTAATTTGAGATCACTTGTGTTGCACCAACTAAACTCGGTGCTGCTCCAAGCGAACGTCCTTTGACAAGATGATGAGCTCATTTCTCAAAACAGTTACTGCAGGGAACAAAAATCAACAGGTTAATGTTTGATTGTGTTTTTGTTTTTCGTGTTTTCTAAGATTGAAATAATGTACAGTTTGAACACATGCACCCATTGTTTCAATGTCATTTTTATTTATGTGCGAAAATAGTTTTTGAAAATTCAAAATGCTTAAAGTGGATTGTTTTCAGAAAATAAAAACAGAAAACAAATTGTTGTTGTCATGGTTGGTTGTGTTTTCATTTTTTAGAAAATAATGTTTGGCTTATTGTTTTTAAAATTGGAATTTATCTTAAAAAAAAAAAAAACCAATTTTTTTCGAAACACTAAAAAAGATGGCATTGAATTTTTAAAAATAAAATGTACGAGCACGAAATAATTCTTCTCATATGATCCTGTTGATCAAGTTTGTACTCTTCCAAACAACGTTGCTTTGTCACCTAAAAACACAAGTGTGAGCTAACCGGCGGGTGTGTGCCGGAAACCCCTCCGATGCCTAAGTCAGCAACTAAACAACAGACAATAAGCTCTGTGTATTCTAGAGAGTAAGAATTGGGATACCTGTCCATAGGTCTGGTCTTTTATAGACTTTACTTTGGCACAATCCTAATAGGATTCCAACTCTCCCTATGAGAGTCCTCCTAGGAATCACACACCCTACTTACTACCAACCAAGTGAGATGGTTTTGCACAATCCTAGTAGGACTCTACTCTCCTTAGTAGAGTCCTCCTAGGAGTCATACTCCTACTCACTACCAACCAAGTGAGATGACTTTACTTTGACACAATCCTAGTAGGATTCTAACTCTCCCTATGAGAGTCCTCCTAGGAATCACACACCCTACTCACTACCAACCAAGTGAGATGGTTTTGCGCAATCCTAGTAGGACTCTAGTAGAGTCCTCCTAGGAGTCATACTCCTACTCACTACCAACCAAGTGAGATGGTTTGCACAATCCCAGTAGGATTCTAACTCTCCTTAGCAGAGTCCTACTAGGAGTCTCATCACTGCAAGCCAAGTGAGATGGCTGAGCCCTTTACCTCGGTTATACATTTCTAACCGAACTGTCTTATCTCGGTCCCCTGCCATTCGAATTGTGTGATCGAAAGCCAATCTATCGAATGCCACCCTGCCAAGCTATACACAGCTCGGCCCACACCATTGATGTTACCTCGGTTTGCTACAGAACTTTTCTTTACTTCGGCTGTCATCTTTACCTCGGCTCTGTGCTCAACTAAGTAATGGAATAGAAGCATCGACCGAGCTATACCTAGCTCGGCCATCTGTCTTACCAAACACCTCGGCCAACCCTTGGGCCTAGTATTTAAGTAGCTCGGTCAACGCCCTTGTCCAGTTTGGTACTCAGATAAAAAGGGACCGAACTACCCGTCGTCCATACTCCGACCCTTATCTCGGCCCATTACGCGGCCTAGCTCCCAAAGAAGACTCTTCCTAGCTCGGCCCAATTTGTTTACAAATTACCTTCTCAGAAAATTATTGAAACCACTAATTAGTAGTAGCACTAATGATATGGCAGTGGCCTCACCCACTGTCACAGTGTTGCTGTACCTTTTTTTTTTTTAAGTGTGTACCAACTCACTAGTGGTGTTTTAAAACACCACTTTTAATGGTATGTATCATTGCCGTTTTAAAAAAATTATTTTTCATAAAAATTACTGTAAGTCAATGGATTTTTTCTCCCTTTTTTGTGTTCAACAGAAACAAACTTAGGGCTGGTTTGACATAGACTATATAATCCATCTTTTTATCTTTTTATCTTTTTTCCATCACATCACCTCTCTACTTTTCTGCACATCTTTTCGTAAAAAGACAAAAAGTGCACTTTTTTAGAACACTCCAAACCAACCCTTAATAGGATGGAAATTATTCTTCACTTTTAAAAAGTAAAAATAAATGAATAAGTAAAATCAGACAATTTTTTGAAAAATATTTTCCGATCAAAACAAACAGAGCATTGAATAAATTGGACAGAAAGTGAATAGATATCTTATTCTTCTTACCATTCATATCTAAAACCCCTAATTCAATAAGCTTTGGAAGGTGAGGATGCAAGAGTAAACCCCCTGGTCCAGCAGGCCACACTACAGCTTGCTCAATTCCCATCTCTTTTGCAACCTCTAGTATCCACCCTAGGGTTGCATCTGCTATGACACACCTAATCATCTTCTCCTCTGATTGGCCAATCTTTTCAATGAAATCCTTAAGATGACCCGGCATGACTCGCCGGATACTCTCCATTACTTCAACACCGTCCCTCTGATCATCACGGGGTCCCAATCCGTCAGGAATCGAAACAAGTCTTACCCGGTTTTGCAATTCTTCATCCTTGTGATCTGGCATAGCAGCCATGATCTTGGCATGTATGAACTCCGTGTTAACAACTGTAACTTTGATTCCATACTCAGCAATTTTGTGTGATAACTTCAAGAGAGGTATGACATGCCCTTGTGCCGGGTATGGAACAACCACTACATGTGCTTGCTTGCCCATCATGACTTATTCTTTGTTTCACGAGAGTGACGAAAACAACCTCTTCAGTAATGGTGTGGATGGATTGGAGTCCTAGAAACAGCCTCTCCGGTAATAATAGGGATAAGCCGTTTCTATTGTTCTTTCATCAAAGGAGATAGACGTCTCAATAGGCCATTTACATATAAGTTATAATTTAGGATAAATTATAAATAAATTCCTTGAGATTTCTTAAAATATGAATTATCTTTTGTGATTTGAAAAATTATAAAAAAAAATTTATTAAAAAAATTTATTTAACATAATTAATTAAAAATGTGAAATTTCTAACCGTTCACCTATACAATAATAAAATTATCTTAATTATTAATTGAAATAAAATTTTAACTTTACTAAATACCTTAATTAACTTGATAATTTATTAATAAAAGAATTATTTGTTATGAAATTAGAAACCTTTGGGGGCATAATGTAATTTCTAAAACCACAAAAAGTAATTTATAATTTAAGTAAACCTCATAGGGTGTGTTTGTAATTTACCCTATAATTTATAAACTTATGTTACATTAAGTTTTGATTAAGATTTGTTAGATCTACAAGTTTTATTAAATTTTTAATAATTGGAATTGTCCTTCAAACAATGATTGCGTATCATTTATGATTATCTACAAAAAAAAAAAATATGATGATTTGATATTTATTTTGATTTTTAAAATTTTAAAATATTAATTTTCAAATTGAAAATACTAAAAAAAATTATATGCAAAAAAAAAAAAACTATCAGTATGTTTGGTTTGAGTTTTTTGAATTAAGTTTTTTGAAAACTGAGTTTTTTTATTTTTGTATTTTTTTGTTTTTAGTGAATATATTTAAAATTTTAAACATTTTTTTTACTTTTTTAGTTGCACCTTACTTAGATGTATCTAAAAAGTAAATAAATTGTGAAAAAATATTTTTAAAAATTAATAAATACATAAAAATATAAAAAATGTACTGAATTCTCGTATTTTTTTTATATTTTTGGTATTTAGTGAATTTTCAAAAGGTTTTTTTCAAAAAATTTTTACTTTTTAAGTATATGTATGTTAGGTATGTTTAAAAATTAAAAAAATTGCTCAAAATATTAAAAAAAATTCAGTAAAAACAAAAAAAATACTGAAAATAAAAAAGTAAAATTTTTTGAAAAGTGTTTTTGAAAAATGATAACCAATCATAGTTTTTTTTGAAAAAGTTGAGTTCTTTTTTGTACAAAACTGAAAATTTTATGTATAAAAGAGTATGATGATGAAATATTAATGTACAAAACTTTAAAAAAAAAAATGTGTTTGGTTTCAGTTTTCTGAATTCAATTTTTTTAAAATGAGTTTTTTATTTTTCGTGTTTTTTATTTTTTATTTTTAGTGAATATTTTTTAAATTTAAAGTAATTTTTTTACTTTTTTAAATACACTTTACTTAGATGTACCTAAATAGTAAAATATTTGTGAAAAAATATTTTAAAAAATTAGTAAATACACAAAAATATGAAAATGTACTAAATTTTCATATTTTTTTATATTTTTTGGTATTTAGTGTAATTTTTTAAAGATTTTTTTCACAAATATTATACTTTTTAAGTGTATTTTTGTTAGGTGTGTCTAAAAATTTTATAAAAAAAAAATTACTTAAAATATTAAAAAATTCATTGAAAACATTAAAATACGAAAAAAAAATTGAAAACTATTTTTTGAAAACTAGAACCAAACAAACTTAATTTTATGATTGAAAAAAACTGTTAATATTTTTAATTTTATTGAAAAATTTTAGGAGATGAGTCATGCTAATCCACACAACACATAGGATCAGTGGTCTAGAGTGATTCTCATTTATTAAGATTTTCACTGGCATGAGTTGAAGTTTCGGGAGAGAAAAACTAGTTGACTTCTATACAAAAAATAAAAAAATCATTTGTCTTGCATTTTCTTTGTATACGTAACTTTTATAATATATATTTGGAAAATTTTATGGTATATATACACCATGTTTGGTTACAATTACGATCTTTGTTTCTTTTGTTATGGTTTACTATAATATCAGTATGATATATTATAATGTTAATTATAATATTATTTTGATTATAATTTAAAAGTTATTTAATTGTACCTTATGTTATGTTTAGTTATGGGGTAAAACACCATTAAGTTGACATCTTATAAATCATTTAGTCCTGTCTTTTTTTCTTGTGGACTAATAAGTCCCATTTAATTGTAAAAGACCCTTTTGTACATTGGCCCCTTATATTATTTCAAAAAATGTAGGGGTATAACGGGAGTTTTGGTGATGTTGATTTTACAATTTTTTACAAAAGCTTACTGTATGGGTTTTTGGATGTCCCTCCCAGCCCATTATTCCGAAAGAGATGTGAATGGCAACGTTAGGGGATGGTAATGTTGCTATGTAAAATGTTCCTACAGTGTTCAATGATTTGGGAATGTTAGTTTGGTATTCGAAGTTGCCCCAATTAACATTTGGTTCCTATCCCAAACCCTAGAAAAACAATTTCCATTTGATGTGTTATAACATTGAACAGTCTGAATCGAGTGGGGCTGTGTATGTTTTCTGCCTTCATTGCAGTTCGCATCGTGACAGTCGGCACCATGAAGTTAACCACCACCCAGCATCTATGATTTTGATTGTGTTAGTCAACGACGGTATCGAGTATGTGTAATCCGACTTCTTATTCCAGTAGGTTTGATAGATTATTGTCGGTAGTGTGTTTGAGTGTGTTTGGTTAATGGTGAAGTATGTGCATGTGTGTGATGGGTGAGTATCCATGTTTGTTGTTTGTGTTTGATGTTGTTCGATTGGGGGGGTTTGGATTTGGAGAGGGGTGAAGGTCTGGGGGTCGTGGTCTGGGTAGTGTTAATTTTGGGGGGAACACTATAGTTGATGTTGCGGGGGGTTATTGTGTTGTGATATTTTAGATTGCTGTCAATTTGATGTGAATGGCAACGTTGTGAATGACAACAACACTGCAAACTCTATTCTTGTGTCAAAAAAAACACAACACATAAATATGGAGCGGTGTGTATGTCAACGTTAGTGGAAGGGAAATTTTATGATGATATATATGTTTATGATGTTCAATGGAAGGCCATGGAAATGTGTTCGTTTTGAGTGGGTTTTGTTGTATTGGTGGTAAATGGGTTTGTCCCCGCGCAGCAATGTCAACAACACAACAATGAAACAGACCTGCAAATTCCCACGCAGCAACGTCAACAACACAGCACCCGAAGCAGAAATTGAACAAAAAAATGAACACCCCCTAAAAACACCCCCCCTACATCAACGATCCACGCTCCCACATCAGAAAAACACATTCAATGGGCAATAACATTAGCCTCACAAATCACTCCACGCAATTCCAAAAAAAACATTGGGAACATATCATCGAGTCTAGATCCTCCACCATGACACCCTTTGGTGCTTCCTGCTGTGACACCAAAATGGTGTCGTTTTGGCCTAAATTTTTTTTTTCTTCCCAGTGAATCAGGATCCCCTCCTTGAGTTTCCTACTTTACTTCCTACTTGCTAAGTTATTGGGCCCACTTTTAGGCTCAATTTCGATGATTCGAACCGTTCACATTTTAAGATTTGTTAAATATATCATACCTGTAAAAAATCAAGTTGATCGGATATCAAAAAGTATGTGTTCGAAAAACTGTTTATTAATTTAAAAAAAAAAATAGTTTTTAGTTCGATGATCCGAACACATACTTTCTGATATTCGATTAACTTGATTTTTTTGTGGGTATGATATACTCAACAAATTTTAAAATGTGAACGGTTCGGATCATTGCAATTGGGCCTAAAAGTGGGCCCAATAACCTAACAAGTAGAAAGTCAAGTAGGAAACTCAATGAGGGAATCTTGATTCTGTTTTGTTCTTTCTCTAAGCTCTCAAGGGATGCAGAGTTGATAACCCTAAGTACCTCGAATGACCAAAGACGAAGAAGACTATGGCAGCGAAGGCGAAAGAGAGACAAAGAGAGAAGAAGAAGAAGAAGATTTAGGTGAAGCAAAATCAAAAAAAATAAAAAAAATAAAATAAAAAATTGAATTGGTTCTTAATCGTTTTTCACAAACATGAATCTCTTTCACGAATCACTCTTTTTGTTCAACACACTTCACTCAACTCCGCTCTTGCTTGGAAGTCCATCATAGATTTTATCTTTTCATCAATTCTTTATTTGCTTTTATTGAAATAAGGGTTACTGCTCGCATTCATTTACAAGGCCACAAAATAACTTAACTAGTCAACAATACCAAAATCAATTCAATACTTTTCTACATAGAAATTCACAAATCCACTTTGTCATCATCATTTATATATAAAACCAAATCAAACCAACCAAAAATCTAACAGAGACTCTACATATGATCCTAAAAACAAAAACAAAAAAAAAAAACTGAGACTATGACACAGTCCGTGAACGCAGCGATGATCGGAGTCGGAGTCACCGGCCTTGTTTCTGAGAATACCTAGATCATAATGTGATCTCTGAGGTTTCCCACATTACATTCTTTTGTCGCATCGCTGTCGCCGCCCTCTTCCTCTTTGTCGAGTTAGAGTTCTTAGTTCTCAAATGATTGAGAACTTAGAGAGAAAAGAAAACAGGGGAAAAGGTAAAAAATAACTTAACTAGTCAACAATACCAAAATCAATTCAATACTTTTCTACATAGAAATTCACAAATCCACTTTGTCATCATCATTTATATATAAAACCAAATCAAACCAACCAGAAATCTAACAGAGACTCTACATATGATCCTAAAAACAAAAACAAAAAAAAACCGAGACTATGACACAGTCCGTGAAGGCAGCGATGATCGGAGTCGGAGTCACCGGCCTCGTTTCTGAGAATACCTAGATCATAATGTGTTCTCTAAGGTTTCCCACATTACATTCTTTTGTCGCATCGCTGTCGTCGCCCTCTTCCTCTTTGTCGAGTTAGAGTTCTTAGTTCTCAAATGATTGAGAACTTAGAGAGAAAAGAAAACAGGGGAAAAGGTAAAAGGGAAAAAGGGCACACAAAAAAAAAAACAAAGCTTCGTCAAAACGATGCCCTTTTTAAACAATAACAGGATCGCCGCAGGATATCGCGACAGACGATCTGAACTCACATATCATCATACCTAAATAAACCCACCCAACATTAGTAAGAAGACCCAAGATTCCACATCAGAAACCCAAATCAAATGGGTAACATCACTAACCCCCCAAATCACTCCACACAATCCCCACAAAGAATTTGAAAAATAACACCATAACATAACCAACTCACCAAAACATTAGAAAAAAATCAAAACCAAAATCACAATCAAGGGTAAATAAGTAAACTCCACAACCTCTAAATTAAACAAAAACAACATACCATAAATAAAAGGACTAATTGGTTTAGAAGAAAACTTCTAGGATTAAATGGAGCAACAGTTTCTCAAATGGGATTTTTGAGTAATTTTTCCTTAGTTGTAACTTTATTTTTTTTAGGGGTATTTACGCACAAATCCTAATTTATTAACTTATACTCCACTAAGTCCTAATTAAGGAGTAGTTTGAGATGTTCTAAATAAGTACACTCTTTGACTTTTTATAATAAAAAAATGTGTAGAAAAATAGAGAAAGTGGATAGAAAAGTAGAGAGGAGATATTGATAGATGTTGATTGATGTAACCCAAATAAGTATAGGTATGCAAAAAAAAAAATTATATTTTTTTAGTACATACCAAACACCTAAGATTTTTTTGGATCTTCAAGTCCCATTAAAATTTTAATAGTTGGAATTACCCTTAAAACAATGATTATCTATAAATAAATAAAAAAAAACGATGATTTGACATTTATTTTGATTTTCAAAACTTTCAAACTAAATTTTTTTTTAAAAAAATTATGTGCGAAAAAAAATTTGAAAAAACTGAATTATTTTTTTGTACAAAATTGAAAATTTTGTATCTATAAAGGAGCATGATGATGGAAGATTGATGTGTAAAAAAAAAAAAAACCTTCAAAAATGAAAGTTCTCAGTTTTAAAATTGGAAAATAACTATTAATGTTCTTAGTTTTATTGGATAGTTGAATCAAACCAATAAGTAGAAAGACAAAAATGTTTAATCTCATTGTCTGTTTTTTTATCAGCAAATGAAACAATTATTTGGAACATTACTATACAAAATTGCTAATATTTTTAGTTTTAAAAATTGGAAAAAATTGATAATATTTTTAATTTTACTAAATAAAATTTGTTGGTTCAAAAAATCTTAAATAATATCTAAACTACCATAATATTTATAAATAAGACTTTTAGGTAATTAACTTATCTTTATATAACCATCAAGCCACTACCAATTGGAAATTCTATTTCCACACACATTTTTATCTTTGTGCACATTATATCTCAATGCATACCTTTGTGAATTATTACTATACAAAATTGATAATATTTTTAGTTTTAAAAATTGGAAAAAAATTGATAATATTTTTAATTTTACTAAATAAAATTTGTTGGTTCAAAAAATCTTAAATAATATCTGAACTACCATAATATTTATAAATAAGACTTTTAGGTAATTAACTTATCTTTATATAACCATCAAGCCACTACCAATTGGAAATTCTATTTCCACACACATTTTCATCTTTGTGCACATTATATCTCAATGCACACCTTTGTGAATTTGATTATATATTATTATTCTCATTCCACACGTCATATTTCCAATTATAACCCTAAGTCAAATTTTATACACAAACCACCTAAATAGGTTTTCACCCACCTTGAAACGCCCACCATGGTAAACACATCTACACAGCTACCCACGGATAGCCACATAGCCTAACTCCATTGAAGACCCATGGTAAAGACCCAATTCCATTGAAGAACTACACAGAGCACTGCATTATTGAAGGTAAGTAATCGATGAAGAAAAATGAAGAAAGCAGAGTATTAAAAAATTGGATCTTGAATTTGATTTACATCTCTAGTAATCTTCGCTGCTTCAGGAACTGTAAGTGTGAATCTGACTCAGCAGAACTATATCAAACAACAAATTGATTCAAATATAGAGAACAATTACATACATATACATATTGTTGGAAAAAAAATGGTTTTATATAGGCATATTATTTAGCCCAATTTGGGTGGACCCCAAACGTCTTTTGGGGTGGGTCCATAGAGGTGAAGACGGAACGTCAAAACCATTTATGAGTGAATGGGAGTTGACGTCGTTTTCGGGTCTAACATTAATTTTTATTAGATAAAATTCATTTGAATTTTTTCAATAAAAATTATTGTGGGAATTTAATTTAATTCTAAATTCAAATTTTGGATTCTTGAGTGGTTTCCTAAAGTTTGTAATTGTGAGAATTTAATTTAATTCTAAATTCAAATTTTTGGTTTCTAAGTGGTTTTCTAAAGATTGTACCTTTTTATTTATTTATTTATTTAACTATTTCAATAGTTTAATATTTATATATATATATATTTAATTAGTTTAATATATATATATATTTGAAATAGTGTAAATAATAATTTTCCTACAGATTTGGAACATCTAACGGAACACTTCAAATATTTGAATTTGAGATCAAAACTGTCAACTATTATTTGAATTGAAAATATTGCACCTTTTCACTTCTTTATGTTGATACCCGTTCGGTACTTTTTCTGCCTATATATACCATCTATTCTAGCAGGTTTGCTTTTTGTGCTCCAACGATTTCACCTAAATGGTATCAAATTGAGAACGTCTCAAACTTTTCACCAAACTGAAGATGTGTTGCATCTTTAAGCAATTTACTGTGTATAGCCGTTGAGTGTGGACTACCGGACGACTGGTCGGGCGTCCACCTCAAGCAAAATTTTGTGAAAATTTCACACTAAGAGGTCGACCCCCTGGTTGACCCCCCAGTCACCCAATAGTTACACTCCCAAATCATCCTCAATGGTCTCTATCGTTCACTTTTCTTCGATTCCAAGCTCGCTAACTCCTACATCCAATTAGGTTTTCTCCAATTCGCTACCAAAGCTCTCAATTTCATTATTGTCAAGAACTCCTATTCATATAACACCATCGCCTCTGAATTCTTCAAGAACAAACGTTTCTCCACTGTTCTATGGCTTTTCAAATAGATGCGAACTGAAGGTTTTTCCGTTGATGGTTTCAACTTGGCATTTGCAATCAAATCTTGTATTAGGTTGTCGATTTTGCAAGATGGGAAGTTGGTTTATTGTTTGGCAATCAAATCGGGACTCGATAGAGATCCTTATCTTGTCCCTGCTCTCATAGATGTGTACTCTGATTTGGGTTCTTTGAAAGATGCCCATAAATTGTTTGAAGAAATTCCTGAGTGGAATACAGGTATTTGGGGTTCTATGATGAAAGACTATCTCAAGTCTTTAGAGCAAACCAAAGTTTTTGAGTTGTTTTCGAAAATGAGAACAGATGGTTTTGAATTGGAGCCATTTACATCTGAATGTTTGGTTCGGGCTTGTGGAAATGTTTCTGCTGGCAAAGAAGGTAAATCGGTTCATGGGTTCTGTATAAAGCACAATTTTATGAATTCCAACTACATTTATTTACAGACATTGCTTGTAGATATGTACTTGAATTGTGGGTTGCTTGATTTTGGTCTCAGATTATTCAAAGAGGTATCTAATAAAGATGTAGTTTTATGGACTGCAATTGTCTTAGAAGCAGGATTTTCATTTTTTGCATTGACTGATTGACTAACCGATCATCTACCCAGTTGACCGGTGGTTTGATGAAAACTCAAATTCCTCTTTGGAGCAGGCAATATTAGATAGAGGAATTCCTCTTTTTTTACTCAAATTTGATGAAAATTTTAATGAATCATTAGAGATGCTCTTAATAAGGTAAATTCGATATTCAAAGGTCACCCATTAAGTCAATGTAGGAATAGCAACAGGCCGAGGTGGGGCCGGGGATCACACTCCCCATTCCCGATTTTTGATTGTGAAAATCTCCCCTTCTCCGGCCCCGATCCCCAACGAGGAACCTATCACCTTCCCCGTCCCCACCCCTTAATAGGGATCGAGTTTCCCCGACCTCGAAAATTCCCCAGCCCAAATCTGATTCAACAATACCATCAATAACAACAACATCATCATCAACCCCAATTGTTTCATTTTCAACATCAACATCAACAAAATCATCAACGAATCCACTACCAAAAAAAAAAAAAAGGACAGATAGAGACACACATGCATACATGTATACATATATACACAAACAGATCTGAGATCTGTGTATTTGTGTCACACAGAGAGAAAGAGAGAGTGGACGATCGGCGATGATGGACGACAAAGGAGATCGGAGAAGGTGATGGTGGATAGAGGCGATGGTGACTGTGACGAACGATGGAGGAGATCGGCGACGACGGATGACGGTGACTATGACGAATGAGAGTAGACAATCAGCGATAATGACGATGACGACGACGACGGAGGTGATGGGTGATTGTGACTGCAACAACAGAAGTGATAAACAACGGAAAAGGACGATCGACGTCGCAAATAGTGGTAGTGGCGCTGAGGAAGAGGAGAGGTTCAAGAGTGAGTGAGTGAGTGAGTGAACGAGAGAGAGAGAGAGAGTAGAGGGAAGAGAGAAAGAGAGAGACAGAGACAGAGAGGAAAAGAGAAGTGAGATGATGATGAGGGTTTGGTTTATATATATATATATATATAGAGAGAGAGAGAGAGGGGTGTAAAATAGTAATTTTACTTCGGAGACAAACGAGGACGGGGACTGGCCGGGTACGGGGCTCGGACACTTATCCCCGTCTCTGACCCGAAACTGATCGAGGATTGATTTGTGAATACCATCCTCGCCCCGTTGGGGATATTTTTCGGGAAAAAACTGCTCAAATCGAGATCGGAAGGTCGGGTTCCTATCGGGCTGGGTTCAAATTGCCATCCCTAAGTCAATTGTGTGATTTGTGGTCTCGTTGTCTAAGTTCAAAATTTAGTGTATTTTTCGGTCAAATTGACATGGATTTTGCCTTTTATTATTACAATATTTGTGTTTTTTCACTTGGCTTTATAAAATTTTTGTTAAGTTATGCTAGAGATCTTAAATGATTTATTAAATTTTTTACCAAACTTCTTACATGAGTATAGGACTCACACATATGTGGATTTGTGTGGATCCCACACCCATGTGAGAGGTTTAGTAAAAAATTTGATGAATCATTTGAGATCCATAACATGTTTCATCCTTGTTGATTCAATCATAGGACTTCTTGTTCTCATCAACATTCTATGTTATCTTTTGGAAAGTTTATTACTGTGCATTTAAAAGAACACTAGACATTGTAGGCACACATGATACATGTATATTATAATTTTGGGTGGATTATTTTAATGTTTCCTATAATTTGATATTTGTATCATTTTAGTTCATGACCTTTAAATTACGATAAATTTGATCTTGAATTTTAAAAATTTATAATATTTTTTAGTTTAAAAATTGGGAAAAAATTGATAATATTTTTAATTTTACTAAATAAAATTTGTTGGTTCAAAAAATCTTAAATAATATCTGAACTACCATAATATTTATAAATAAGACTTTTAGGTAATTAACTTATCTTTATATAACCATCAAGCCACTACCAATTGGAAATTCTATTTCCACACACATTTTCATCTTTGTGCACATTATATCTCAATGCACACCTTTGTGAATTTGATTATATATTATTATTCTCATTCCACACGTCATATTTCCAATTATAACCCTAAGTCAAATTTTATACACAAACCACCTAAATAGGTTTTCACCCACCTTGAAACGCCCACCATGGTAAACACATCTACACAGCTACCCACGGATAGCCACATAGCCTAACTCCATTGAAGACCCATGGTAAAGACCCAATTCCATTGAAGAACTACACAGAGCACTGCATTATTGAAGGTAAGTAATCGATGAAGAAAAATGAAGAAAGCAGAGTATTAAAAAATTGGGTCTTGAATTTGATTTACATCTCTAGTAATCTTCGCTGCTTCAGGAACTGTAAGTGTGAATCTGACTCAGCAGAACTATATCAAACAACAAATTGATTCAAATATAGAGAACAATTACATACATATACATATAGACACACAAACACATAAGAACATGCATATATACAAATTATATACATATATAGAAACAGAGTGAGGAGAGATTAATAGGTTCCTAAGCTCATCAAACAATTCTTGCCAAAAATGGTATGGATCTTCTCATCAATAAAATGGTATGGTTCCTGAGCTCATCAAAGAAGAACATGCATATACACAAATTCTTTGTTCTTGAGCTTTGTGGCACATAAAATAACAACACCACAAATTTATGTGTACAGAGAAAACTATGATTTTCATATTTGGTATGTGTTATGATGTCTATTACGGTCATTTTGTTTCGTGGTAAAATTGTTATTAAAATTTTGTTTCATTAAGTGTGTGCACAGAGATGAAAGGGTGTGTGGAAATAGAATTTCCCACTGCCAATAAGTAAAAATAATAAATAACCCTTTGAGATGACAATTTAGCATTCAAGGCATGAGAGAGCGTGAGAGTGTGGCAACATAGAATAGTAACACTAATGTTATCGGGGTAATTTTTTTTAATAGATGAGAACGCATCTTAGACAGGGGCTTTTTGGACCCATCTTAGACCATCTCCAACCATTCACCAAATCCATCATCAAATTCAAATTTGGTGCAAAAGATGGTCTTTTTGTGCTCCAACGATTTCACCTAAATGGTATCAAATTGAGAACGTCTCAAACTTTTCACCAAACTGAAGATGTGTTGCATCTTTAAGCAATTTACTATGTATAGCCGTTGAGTGTGGACCACCGGACGACTGGTCAGGCGTCCACCTCAAGCAAAATTTTGTGAAAATTTCACACTAAGAGGTCGACCCCCTGGTTGACCCCCCAGTCACCCAATAGTTACACTCCCAAATCATCCTCAATGGTCTCTATCGTTCACTTTTCTTCGATTCCAAGCTCGCTAACTCCTACATCCAATTAGGTTTTCTCCAATTCGCTACCAAAGCTCTCAATTTCATTATTGTCAAGAACTCCTATTCATATAACACCATCGCCTCTGGATTCTTCAAGAACAAACGTTTCTCCACTGTTCTATGGCTTTTCAAATAAATGCGAACCGAAGGTTTTTCCGTTGATGGTTTCAACTTGGCATTTGCAATCAAATCTTGTATTAGGTTGTCGATTTTGCAAGATGGGAAGTTGGTTCATTGTTTGGCAATCAAATCGGGACTCGATAGAGATCCTTATCTTGTCCCTGCTCTCATAGATGTGTACTCTGATTTGGGTTCTTTGAAAGATGCCCATAAATTGTTTGAAGAAATTCCTGAGTGGAATACAGGTATTTGGGGTTCTATGATGAAAGACTATCTCAAGTCTTTAGAGCAAACCAAAGTTTTTGAGTTGTTTTCGAAAATGAGAACAGATAGTTTTGAATTGGAGCCATTTACATCTGAATGTTTGGTTCGGGCTTGTGGAAATGTTTCTGCTGGCAAAGAAGGTAAATCGGTTCATGGGTTCTGTATAAAGCACAATTTTATGAATTCCAACTACATTTATTTACAGACATCGCTTGTAGATATGTACTTGAATTATGGGTTGCTTGATTTTGGTCTCAGATTATTCAAATAGGTATCTAATAAAGATGTAGTTTTATGGACTGCAATTGTCTTAGAAGCAGGATTTTCATTTTTTGCATTGACTGATTGACTAACTGGTCATCTACCCGGTTGACCGGTGGTTTGATGAAAACTCAAATTCCTCTGTTGGAGCAGGCAATATTAGATAGAGGAATTCCTCTTTTTTTACTCAAATTTGATGAAAATTCTGATGAATCATTAGAGATGCTCTTAATAAGGTAAATTCGATATTCAAAGGTCACCCATTAAGTCAATGTAGGAATAGCAACAGGCCGAGGTGGGGCTGGGGATCACACTCCCCATTCCCGATCTCTGATTGTGAAAATCTCCCCTTCCCCGGCACCGATCCCCAACGAGGAACCTATCACCTTCCCCGTCCCCACCCCTTAACGGGGATCGAGTTTCCCCGACCTCGAAAATTCCCCAGCCCAAATCTGTTTCAACCATACCATCAATAACAAGAACATCATCATCAACCCCAATTGTTTCATTTTCAACATCAACATCAACAAAATCATCAACGAATCCACTACCAAAAAAAAAAAAAAGGACAGATAGAAAAAAAAAGGACAAATAGAGACACACATACATACATGTATACATACATGCACAAACAGATCTGAGATCTGTGTATCTGTGTCACACAGAGAGAAAGAGAGAGTGGACGATCGGCGATGATGGACGACAGAGGGGATCGGAGAAGGTGATGATGGATAGAGGCGATGGTGACTGTGACGAACGATGGAAGAGATCGGCGACGACGGATGACGGTGATTGTGACGAATGAGAGTGGACAATTAGCGATGATGACGATGACGACGACGACGGAGGTGATGGATGATTGTGACTGCGACAACAGAGGTGATAACAATGGAAAAGGACGATCGACGTCGCAAATAGTGGTAGTGGCACTAAGGAAGAGGAAAGGTTCAAGAGTGAGTGAGTGAGTGAGTGAGCGAGAGAGAGAGAGAGAGAGTAGAGGGAAGAGAGAAAGAGAGAGACAGAGACAGAGAGGAAAAGAGAAGTGAGATGATAATGAGGGTTTGGTTTATATATATATATATATATAGAGAGAGAGAGAGAGAGAGAGAGAGGTGTAAAATAGTAATTTTACTTCGGGGACAAACAAGGATGGGGACTAGCCGGGTACGGGGCTCGAACACTTATCCCCATCTCTGGCCCGAAACTGATCGAGGATTGATTTGTGAATACCATCCTCGCCCCGTTGGGGATATTTTTCAGGAAAAAACTGCTCAAATCGAGATCGGAAGGTCGGTTCCCTATCGGGCTGAGTTCAAATTGCCATCCCTAAGTCAATTGTGTGATTTGTGGTCTCGTTGTCTAAGTTCAAAATTTAGTGTATTTTTCGGTCAAATTGACATGGATTTTGCCTTTTATTATTACAATATTTGTGTTTTTTCACTCGGCTTTATAAAATTTTTGTTGAGTTATGCTATAGATCTTAAATGATTTATTAAATTTTTTACCAAACTTCTTACATGAGTATGGGACTCACACATATGTGGATTTGTGTGGATCCCACACCCATGTGAGAGGTTTAGTAAAAAATTTGATGAATCATTTGAGATCCATAACATTATTCATTCTTGTTGATTCAATCATAGGAAAACGACTTCTTGTTCTCATCAACATTCTATGTTATCTTTTGGAAAGTTTATTACTGTGCATTTAAAAGAACACTAGACATTGTAGGCACACATGATACATGTATATTATAATTTTGGGTGGATTATTTTAATGTTTCCTATAATTTGATATTTGTATCATTTTAGTTCATGACCTTTAAATTACGATAAATTTGATCTTGAATTTTGACTTTTGTTTTAAATAAGGACAATTGGAAACATTACTGCTCCATTTCACGACTTTTAAATTATGATATATTTGACCCGAAATTTTAAATTTCGTTTCAAATAAGAACAATTGAAGACACTGTTACTCCATTTCAAGGGCTAAGTTGTCAATTTAATAAAATATAAACTAATTTGACGAAAATAAATGTCAAAAAATTATTTTTGAATTTTTAAAAATTATTTCTACTCACCAAAGACAAAATTATATAAAAATGATAAATTTTTTACAATTTTATTTTTTTCACATTTTTACCAAATTAATTTTTAATATGTGTTTAGATGATGATCATATAATGGGTGTTCATTTTTATTGATATTTTTGAATAATTATCACATAATAGATGGTTGTATTTGTTATTAACAAATATTTTTAGATGATTATCATGTAATAAGTGGTTATTAGACTTTTACTATATAATCGATGTGTTTAATATATGAAATTTTTTTAGTTTTGAATTTTTGAATTTAATGAATTGATTTTAATAATGATATCAAAATTATCACCATATTTGACTTTCAAAAAAATAAAAACTAATTTAAAATAAATAAAACAAAAAACATCTATATATTTTCTACACTCCTAAAAGATAAAATTCTAAGAAAAGGACTTCTTGTCGTGATCACATTATAAGCTGCCTTGTTATCATCAAAATTCTGTGTTATTGTTTCGGGAAGGGGAAGTTGCCCTGATACCATCAAAATTCTATGTTATTGTTTTGGAATGGGAAAGATTATAATACAGGACCCTCAAAAAAAATTGTATCATATACACCTTATAATTCTATTAAACAAAAAAAATTATATCATATACACCTTATAATTCTACAAAAGAAAATGACATGCTTGCTGATTATCTTTGTACTATCGTGCATTTTTAGAATATCTGCCTCGAATTTTTAAATCTCAATGTTTGTTTTTTTAAATTGTCTTTAGTGACAATTTTTTTTTAAAATTGTCACAATCTTTTAATTTTTTTATCCATATTGTGTAGGTAAATCTAATTAATATTTTAAAAAAATCAAAATATAAAATTAAAAATCCAAAATAAGCTTTAAAAGTTCACTATTTTTGTATTAATTTTGTCTTTTCCGAATATTTTTAATTTTTTGGTTCATTTCATTAAGTAAAATTTAGAAGTCTAAAGTTTTTTGAAAAATTATATAAAAAAAAGAGAATTAGTAGGAGAGGTCTAAGTTTTTTTTTTTTTTTTTTTTTCTAAGGTCCCTCAACATTTCTACAAAAAAAAATTTGGGTCAGAGAAATTTTGCCCGACTCAGAGAAATTTCACTCGACTCAAAGAAATTTCGGTCCCAACTCAGAAAAATTTTAAATTTTCTCTAATATGATCACAGAGAAATTTCTTTCTCTGTGAAATTTGAAATTTCTCTGAGTCGGAGTGAAATTTCTTTGAGTCAGTTAAAATTTATAATCAATTTTCTTTTATAAAAATATTGAGAAACCCTAACTATTATAAAATTATTAAATGTTATTTATCTTAAAAAATCTTAATGTTAAGAATCTTTAAAAAAATTCCCCTAACAAAATTTACTAAGACGAAATAAGCTAACAAAAAAGGTACACACCCCAAACACCCACACCGTTTTAGACCCATGTGATACATGTGTATATTCTATTACTAGCGGTAACCCGTGCGATGCACGGAAAAATAGACTATATATATTTTGTGTGATAAATAAATCATCTTAATCTTAAATTATATCTTAATAGCGACAAGCTATAATATTAAGTCATCTAGGTAGATGTTAACAATAATTAACCCACAAAATTTTACAATAAAATATGATATGCATAAGAAATTATTAATTATAAAAATTGTTGAGAATAATAGTATCATAATCACCTGATAACATAAATAACTTGTATCAAACTAAACAAAACATTAAAAGAGATAAATTCTATAAGCTCAGAAAAGTTATCATAAATTTACTTGAGCTTTTAAATCAGTGGTGTATATTATTATTGTGGGATCAAATTATGAATAAATATCAACTTTTAATTATAATTTATAAGTAGTTTTTAAAAAAATTTAATCTAAGTTTGTTGCCTTGCTCATAAAAAAAATTTCTCAAACAAATCATTAATTGATTATATTAGCAACTCTCTATCTTTGATTTCCTCTATCAATGACACACTCATATCATATCAAAGTATAAATCATTCTCCATAGTTTGAATAATACTTGCATAGTTCCTACGTCATTTTAAAAAAATTAATCAAGATAAGAATGCCATAGTATTATAAAAATTATATAAGAGAATTCATATTACCTTACCCAAAAAAAAAAAAAAAGGTATTGATGCTCTATGCTTGGTTGGCGGTAACTAATTTTTAAATTTTGCAGTCTTTTTGTGTATAAGCTTCTGTATAGATACGTTTGGGCTGTCTGCTTTTCCTTTTGTGTATTCGGGTGGCACCCCATTGGTGCCATTCTTAATATAAATATAAATTTTAAAAAGTTGGACACTAAAATTCAGGTGTATACGAGTCATTTTGTTGTAACGTGCTGAAAATTGTTCTCTTAAATTTGTGATACTTTTTGAAGAGAATTTACAAATGATTTGTCATTATGTGCAGATCAACCAGATGCCAATGATGACAGTTCCTCTCTTGCAATCAGAGAAAGTTGATCTTGGTGTTGAAGATTGTTATATATATATATATATATATATACTCCAAAATTGATTGAAGTGGGAACTTCTCTTTCATTTATTTTTATTATGTGAGGGTTGTGTATGAATCAAGGCAGCCATGAATCTCTTTTTCATATGCCTGTTGTCTTCTGTATATTTTTATTAGAACTAATGCCATTTGTTATTCACCCCCCCAAAAAAATGCCATTTGTGAATTTTAGAAGATTTCTATGTTTTTAATTAAAATATACACAAGTTGCTTAAAAAGTTTATTTATTTATTTATTTTTAACTCGGCTTGAATGATTGATTCGATAGACGTGCTCTCTCATCCTGTCCCAAATTTTTGGGGTTTTCTTCTCAGTCATCTTGTTCCAAATTATTTATTTATTTCTTTCATCTTGTTGAATAAACTTGGGAAAATTGCTTTTTAGTGTAGTGACAAAAAAAATTTACATTTTCATGATGGTATAATTCTTCTGTGTGTATGGTACAAATTCATTCTTGTACAATTCATTCTTGTACTTGGCGAAACTCTTCTTGTGTGTCAGAGTTGTTCAAAAAATAAAAAGGAAAATTTACCCATAAGTCCTAGTTTTTGAAACGTTGAACCATTTAGTCCTAAAAGTTTTCTTATGCTCCATTTAGTCCCATTTTTACATCAACATGATGTGAATGATGTAAATGATCTGATGTTTCATTCTATAATTTCAAAATTTATTGAAATCTGATGAACATTAGATGTTTTTCATCATATATTTTCAAACATTATTGAAATTTGATGAACATTAGATGTTTAAAATCCAATGTTTGTAACATGACTCTGATGTTATTAACATTGTATCTGATGTTATTAACATTGTAATGGGACCTTTCAGTCTATAAGAAAACTTTTAGAACTAAACAGTGCATAAGTTATTAATTTGGGATTTATTGGTGCATCCCCCTTGGTTATATATATAGTATAGATTTTATTTAGTTCAAAAATCAATAAAAAGATAGTAACTTCCGTTAACTGTATTTCTTTTCCCACCAAAAATGTGTATATAATCGGGAGAATTATTAAGTACTCATACCATGTATCCATGTGCTCTTTCACCAATCATTATTTACTATATTTCTCATATTTTTTAATCACATAAAAAAAAAATTATAATACCTCACATTCTTTACTAATTATAATATCATTAAATACCACGTGACCATACTCCCATAGTACCCAATAATCATCCATAATAGTATAAGATTAGCTACAACTTGGATAATAGCATGCTCAAACTTTCATATGTCAATAAATTAAAGAAAGCCTTAATTACATTGATCTATCCTGCTCCCTTAAAGTTTAAATTAACATGACACTCATATACACAAATTTCTTATCTACAAAAATAAAGACAAAAAAATTGAGTAACAAATATAAATTTATTGATTGATTTGAAGTTTTGCATTCTTACAACACTTTCAACATAATGAAAAAATAAGATATCATTTGTAAAGGAGGTTATTGTAATTATGCCAACATAACATAGTTTAGCAACCATTTACATTGAGTAACTAGTTGAAATATCCTCTTCATTGTTTCAGATGTTGTACAAATCTTTCAAAATTCTTACAAGAAGATCCACCTTTCTCAATGCTGTTTCTAGCAATTTTCTTCAACTTCAAACTATTTGCTTTTATGTCATCATCAGAAAGCAAATTCTCAATCTTCTTCTTGATTTCATGCCTCGATACAATCTTATTTTCATCGTGTTCCAACCTTAAACCAACTTTCCAGACATCACAAATAGAGCTCCTGTTATGAAATTGGTCCCCAAAGTAAGGCCAACACAGAAATGGCACCCCATTGCTCACACCCTCCATGGTTGAGTTCCAACCACAATGTGTCATGAAACAAGCAATTGCAGATTGACCTAACTTCTCTTGAGGTGCCCATTCGACAATCTTCCCCCGACCAGCCACTTTCTCAGCAAAACCATCTGGGTATTCGGCGAATGATCGGTTTGTGAGGCCTGGTCGAACAATCCACAAAAATGGCCAGCCTGCAAGATTGTAAAATGAATCAATCTACTCGAGTCTAGCTCATGTTATACTCATTAAAAACTCATTCACCTTGTTTGATTTTTAAAATCTCTTTTCTTTTACTCTACTTTTTTTTTTCCCAAAAAAATAGAAACTAGTTTTACAGAAATAAGTAATAAATTTTTTCTTCAAATTTTCAAAAAGTATTCCCATAATAACAATTTATCTTATTTTATTTTATTCTATTCTAAATTAGTCTTTAGTTTTTGCAGGAAACGAATAAAAAAGCAATTTTTTAAAACTCAACCAAAATGGGTGAGTTTTCGAGTGAAAACATATTACTATGCATCATGAAGAGGGAGATTTACCAATCTATATTAGCTAAATTTATTTACCAGAAAGTCCTAACTAATAAATTTATCACTATAAATTTATTCATAAAAATAAAACAGACTGATAAATTTATCAATAAAACTTAATGGATAATAAGTCCCAAAAGTAAGACCTATTGGTAAACCCAAGTTATTATTGGTCTTGTTTGGTGCAACTTTTCTTACGCAAGAAGTAGATAATCAGAAAACAAAAACTAAAAACATTCCTCCCTCGGCTTCTATTTTATCATTTTTTTAACTTATTTAAATTATTTTGTTTTATAAGTTATAAACAAAAGTTTCACCAAATATTTTGCCACAAAATTTCAAAATAAAAATATAAAAAATAAATAAATTATAAGCAGCTCCAACAGGCTGCACTAAATAAGGTCGGGGATGTTTGGTGCAGGTCGAACAATTTATTATTCAACTCAACTCATTTACAGTCTTACCTGCAAGTTCAAGGCCTAGGGCCAATTCATGAAATTGGTGCTGGCTAAAGACTGTTGTGCTGCCAAAAGCAACATAAACAACTGACCCTGCAGGTTGTTCATTGAGCCACCTCAAACAAGTTGAATCCTGAAGACTAAAGCTTCCGCTAGAATGCCTCGGATGATCGCTCGCAAGCAACGGTCCAACAGGCAAGATGTTGGGAAGCAACCGACAAACCGGCAAGTCGAGTTCGTAGATTGTGTTGCAAAGAAACCAGTTAGAGTGTTCCAAAGTTTGTTTGATGGTTAGAGCACATTCAAAGCAGATCTTTTGTATTATGGGGTCATCTATGCAGTTCCAATCCAACTCAGAGGTGCTGAAGGCACGAATGTCCTTGGACACATTGATAAGTTCATTTCTCAAAATAGCTCCTGCAGAGAAAATTCCAATATACCAATAATGCTACAAACATAGATGAATAGAGTGTCATCAGTACTGCATTTTGTACATTTTTCTAGGAAAAAAATTCTCTTTACTTATTGTCAAGCTACTAGTGTACACTTCAGTCAACTTGCTTTTATCATTTTTGTTTTTTGGCAAAGAATATGTTTTAAATAGAGTTATTATGGGTAAATTCACTTTCCTATTTTGTCCAATTCTACTTGGCTTACGGGCTTATTAAGTCAACCACTTAAATTTTGAGTCAAGTTGCAATTGAAACCATCTATATAACATCATTTCGAAAACTAACGGAGAAAACTACTGGTATACACATAGTTTTTGTAAAAAAAAAATAAATGTAGAGTCCAAATGGAATCACCATTTACCAATTATAAAAATAATCATTTTATTAGAAAACTAATAAATAGTCATTCCATTCATACCCAAAATCATTCCAGCAAACCAAACATTGCTCAGTGTCAATATGATCATTAGGTGGTTCTCAAAATAATCAAATTTAAATGAACAAATTACACTTTTGCACCATTACACTTTATATAAAATCTCACTATGCCCCTTCACCTTTCAATTGTGGCAGTCAAATTTCTACACTCTTAGTCAAGTCTCAATGTCCCCTCTCTCTCTCTCTCTCCAAATTTATATAAATTGACAAAAATTGCCACGTATCAACATCAAGATTAGACCACGTTTGCGGAAATGACAATTTTCTATCAATTTCTATAACAGGTTTGGACAGAAGAGGAACATTGATAACTAGAAGTGTGTAAGGATTTGACTGCTATAATTGAAAAGTGAGAGGAAAGTGGGATTTTAGGGGTGCAAAATGTAATTTACCCAATTTAACTAGATTAATATAAAGAGGGTGAATTGTTTGAGTGGGTGTTTTTCTTACCACTCATATCCATAACCCCTGATTCAATAAGCTTTGGAATGTGAGGAAACAATGGTAAACCCCTTGTTCCCGCTGGCCACATTGCAGCTTGCTCAATTCCCATCTCTTTGGCAACCTCCAATATCCACCCAAGGGTTGGATCTGCTATGACACACCTAATCTTCTCTGTATGCCCAATCTTTTCAATCAAGTCCTTCGGATACTCTAGTTAAATCAAGTCCATCGGAGACCTGGCATGACCCTCCGGATACTCTCCAATAGTTTAAGGGCATCCCTCCGATCATCATTGGGTCCCAATCCGTCAGGGATCGAAACTAGTCCGACCTGATTTTGTTCTTCTTCTTCTTCTTCTTCATTGTTGTGATCTGGCATAGTAGCCATGATCTTGGCATGTACGAACTCTGTGTTAACAAATGTGACTTTGACACCATAATCAGCAATTCTGTGTGATAACTTCAAGAGAGGTGTGACATGCCCTTGTGCTGGATATGGCACAACCAGCACATGTGCTTTCTTGCCCATCATGGATGCTAAGGCTTGCTGTAAGCGTCTTTAGTGGAGTGAATTCGAGCCACGAAAACAACCTCTTCAGTAATGGTATAGATTCAAGTCACAAAAATAGTCTCTCTAGTAATATGGAGTTTTAGTCGTCCCTTTTTTTTTAAGTATCTAGATTTATAAATTGGTGTTGTTGCTTTTTTGGATGGGGCACTAATACATAAGCTTTTTGTGAAACAAAAATTAATAGGGATTACAATATACCTCGGATAAATTACACTTTGCACCAAATTTCACTTTGACCCCTATACATGAAATCATGACAGTCAATCCCCTGTACTTCTAATCAAATCCCACTTTGGTCCTTGCACATTAAATTGTGACAATCAACCCCATGTACTTTTGGTCAAATCTCATTTTGGTCGTATAAATGTCCCCTTTCTATTACTCAATTGTTGAAATATTTAACAGAATCTAGTCATATGATAAGAATGTGAATACGGCACAAGGGTAAGAAAGGAAAATCATCTACATTTTCTAGCAATAAAAACTTTATCCCAAAATTTACATCAAAATATTATCGTATTAGGATAAAACAAAACGTAGATTGGGAACAATTAAGAAGATGAATTAGGGTTTTGTATAAATTGGAATCACGAAAAGGGGCATTAACGCTTGTGTAGGGACCAAAGTGGGATTTGACCAGAAGTGCAGGGAATTGACGGTCATGATTTCATATGTAGAGGCTAAAGTGAGATTTGGTGCAAAGTGCAGGGGTGCAAAGTGCAATTTACCCATATACCTCTCGCATAAAATCATCCACAGAAGATTGTCTTGCTTGATTATGAGTCCTATTCTACACCAATTCTTCAATAGTGAGACTACTAAATCATCACTATAATCCACACACTAAGTTGGAAAGCACTTGGATGGTGGCTTTAGATATATAGATCAAGAAAGAGAAGTTTGCCCAAAGAGCTACCCAAAAAAACACTCACTCTCTTCTCATTTCTTCTCCCTCCTTTTCTTTTGTTGTTCTTTCAGGAAATGAGAAAAGGAGAGCTCTCAATCTATATAAAACCATCAAATGCATTTCACTTCCAACCCATAAAATACACACACACACCCACACCAAAAATAAATAAATTATAATAATAATAATAACAATAAGGGGAAAAAAAAAAATCTTGATCATCTTGTTTATGTACTTTCCATTAACACCCTGAATTACACTTCTCTTCAAAGTGCAAAGAATTATAATAAGTAATAATTGTGCGCCCAAAGGAACATGATGACAAAGTTAAAATGAAAAATAGTAACTTAGCCCAGCTCTTGGAATACTAGTAAACATGCAAGGATATTAGAATTGCTTCTAGTCAAGGTCTAAAAGACGTCTAGTCTTAACCAAAATGTAACATGCATAAACACATTCTGCAATTCTGCCTTTCAGAAAATAAAAGAAATAGAGGAAGAAGACCAACGAAAACGTGGGTTGAGGCGATATGATTACCTTAAATTTAGCTAAGGACATTAGTCTTTGATTTTGAACGAAATTGATTAAAGAAAATATATCCATGTAACCGACCCTAAAATATTTGGAATAAGGAAGGGTTTGTTTAGTAACCTACTTTGGTGCACAACATGGTGTTTGCATCGCAACCTTAAACTTTACTATCCCCCCATGTTTTGCAAGTTGAGAAAATACATTCAATTCAAGTTCATTTTGAATATTCTATAAAACTATTGAGTTTTTGGAGTACTTATAAAACAAAAAAAATCAAAAATTATATCAGAATTATTAGCTGAGCTAATTGCTTTAAATTGAAAAATTTTTAGTTTCAAACTTTAAAATCAAAATCCTCTTAAAGCCAACAAAAACATGTCTTGTTACCTCAACTCTTCCATATCATTACCATGCATACTTCCTGCCCACTGGCCACAAAAATGGGATTACAATAAGACTCTTAAAAGAGTATTCCTACTATTTCCTCACACTTATCAACATCAACCTTCCTTTAACACCTTAGCATTCAAGTTCGTATCAAATGAACAAAATAAAAACTAATATAAAAGAAGAAGAAGCAAAAATATATTATAGAATCTTACTTCTCAATCTCCTCAAATTTCAAGTAGTCCAAAGCCAATTTCAAGAAGCGTATCCGAGAAATTTTCAAGTCCCACCCTGTCATGTGTACATTCAAAATGTGTATTATGAACTAAACATGCAAGTACTGAAGAAAAAAAAATATATATATATATATATATATATAAAACATCAATAACAAGTAAATCATAAAATAAGTATCAACAAAAACAAGTTTAATTTTAGTTGTGCGTCTGACATGGACCTAGACAAATAGCTAATGCCCTTAAGAGCCCTCTTATTTAAGAAGGAAGGATATGTAATTATGAGCCAAATTTTCAATGGAAAGCTTAAAAAACTCAGAGTCATAAGTGGCATTCTTCAAATCTCTATTGTTTGATGGTACCAGCTATAGAAGCAGATCTGACCATACTTTTTCAACGCAATCCTCCTCCCAAACGCTTTCTCATACAACCTTTACCAACAATACTCCACTACCACATCTTCTAAAACCTATTTGTGACAAACTTCTATGATCCCCCTTCGTTTATTTATTTATTCTTTAATTGATAATTAAGTTTGGTCCAATGTGTTATCATGTCAAATCCAACTTGCTCTTATTCTTCACTGGGATAACAGTAGGTGGCAGGGTTAAGTCATTCTTATATTGCCCAGTCTCACGCCTATTGATATCATATTGGATTACGATTCTCAGATTAACACTTAAAGTTCTAATTACAAGGCTAGGTAACAAAGAGATCAATTTCTTAGCTAGATAATTGATTTTGTTATGGGGATCTCTTGGATCAAATAACAATGCATAGCACTTCCTTTGAAGTTTAAGGTGTAAAAACACTTGAAAGCATTTATTTTCTTTATGGTCCAGCAAATATATCATGCAGCTTCTAGTGCAAATTTAAATACCAAAAATGTATATTTTCTATATCAGAATACCAAAAAAAAGACAGAACAATTACAGATAAATTGCCTAGAACTCGATCCATGAGCAAAAAACGAAGAATTTTGAATAATTCAGATAAACAATACCATGTGTCAATGCTCAAAACTAACACAACGTCCTATGATTCTGAAACTAATAATAATTAAACAATTGTACCATTGCCATTCACAATAACAAGCAGGGACGGAGCTACATAGGATCCGGGGCGGCACGTGCCCCTCTCATTTTTTGAAAATTATACTTTTACCTCTAATTAGAAAAAAAAAAATTTCATTGAAATCCCTTTTTAATTTTCAAATATGTTATAATTATTTCTATCTCTCTCATTTCTCTCTTGTTTTTCTCCACATCTATCTTCTTCTTCTTTTTTCTCATTTTTTTGTATGCGTGTTATTAAATTTTAAATTGTGATTATCATCATATTTAGTAACTTAATAGCAAATAAAAAAAGCATCGGTTAGTTTAAATATATCTAGGGCACATAATTTTGTCATCACATTGATCTTTGGTCATTCTATCACCAAATAAAAATTGGATTCAGTTATGTTTTGTAATTGATATCGCCAAGGATTAATGGTGCCCCTATGAATCAAAATCCTGCTCCGCCACTGATAACAAGGACAAATCGATCCATGAGCAAAATACGAATAATTTTGTGTAATTGAATCTATAGAGTCCTTTAATTGAATCTAGAGAGAGAGAAGAAAACCAAGTCATAACCCGTAACCCTAACTAGAAAAACTAAAAAAAATCTTCTCATTTGGTAGAATCGAATGATGAAATAGAGAGGTAGAAATCGAAAAATGCTTACCGATTATGAATCGATCGAATTTTTCTACTCGAATCGGAGATGGAGACGACAGTTAAACGACTTCGTGATATTCATCAACCAACCCACCATTGTTGCAAGAGGTCGAGAGTTGGAGAGTGTTTGAGAGTCGAGGGTGAGACAGAGAGTACGAATCCAGTGTAGTAGACAGAACAAATAAAAAAATCCATTAGTTTAGTTTCTGACACAAGAAAATTTAAGGGAGAGATACTGATAAATCCCATAATGTGGAATGATGGTCCAATTAGTCCTTCAATTATTTTACTACTCTCTGTGATCCTGTGGTAATGTATATTCTTGAAATGTCCTTATTTGTTGGACTGTGTGTGAATTTGTGGCGTGGGATGTTATTGGGTGTCACGGCGGCGAAAAGGCCTATAGTAGTCTTTCTTTGGTTGTGGGTGTGTGACGGGGTGTAGTCATACCTGTGCAACCCGACCCATACATAACGACCCGCATGTTATGTTAGGCAAAACTCCAAATTAAGCAAATAGTGTCGTGTAATTCCTAATCTCTTGGTGTTACCGTTTTAGTGTTACGGGATTTGGGGGATTCTGTGGAATTGGGTGGGGTTGTGGATATTGATTTGGGAATCGTAGGAATACAGTAGGGTTTCGAGGGAGATTGTCCACATTTTTTTTCGAAATTGTGTGGTCGAGGCGCAGTGTGTTTGTAGGGTTTGGACGCGGTGAACATAGACGTGTGGGACGAACTTCGACGGTGGCAATGGCGCACAAGCGTAAGTTTTTTTCCGTTTCTGGTTGTAGTGTTGTTATGTGTTGTTTTTTGTTTCGAAAGTTGTTGAACGGTGGGTATGTTTGGTTGTTGGGGGGACAGGTGTGTAGGTGTGTGGTCCATTACATTGCGTTTTGTAGTGCTTTTGTTTGTCGGCATGTATGTATGTGACTTGATTGTTGTTTATGCAATAATGTGTGGGGGTTGTGGGTGAGTCGAAAGTGTGTGGGTTTAACATGTTTGGTCCCCACATTATGTCGTGAACGTGTACCTTTGTGCTGTTTTTTGTTAAATTGGACGTCCGTCGTGTGTATGACACGATCACATATGTTTGTAATTTCTAGTATCACATATATTAATATGGGACTTTTGGATAATTTTCCCTAAAAAATGTATGGGATTGTTTGTAGTGATCTGTTGGGGGGAAGGGGTAGTGATGTTGCATTTTATTGGTTTAGTTTTGGTTTGAATAGTTTTTGTTGTGTTACATCATTTTTATGGCATGTGTTATGTGGTTAGGATCAAACTCTGAGTGGGTGGTGTTTTGTGGAACAGATAATGTTGTACCATTGAGGAGCCCGTGGACTAGGTCGGCTGAGCGTAAACGTTTAGAGGGTCCAAGTGTGGCATCGTTGTCAAGTCTTGGTGTGAAGTTGCAGGGGTGTGTTTTGTTTAAACAGCCGCAAAGAGTTGGTCAGAGAATACGGTCACCTCGGAAACCAACACAGCGTATAAATTTCCGTTTGAATATGGCAGGTGTGATTAAGGTTGTTTTCGAGTTGGGGTTGAGTGAAAGACACTTTCGGCAGCTGAGGCGAACACCGTTTTGGCTAATGTTTGAAGCCATTATTATCAACAAACCAGACTTCAATGAGTACAGGAAATGTGATGAGCTGGTGGTTAAAATTTTGAGGACGTTCAGGCTGCGTGACGACGCGTTCTATGTTGGCGGTTGTCCTGTTAAAGTTTGCAAAGCTGACATTAGGTTGGTTTTCGGGCTGCAATATGGTGTACAGCAGTTGGACCTGACGCCGAGCACACGTCTTGCATCTGATTTCATTCAGAGACGTTGTAATGGCGTAGGGCGGATAACGGCGAGTCTTATTAAAAGTTTACTTGATGATACGGTGAAAGGTAATTCAAAGTGCGATGAGGAGGACACTGCTAAGCTGCTGTGTTTATATGTGTGCGTCAAGTTATTTTTCTCAACGTCTGGGGAGACGATCAGTTGGGTGTTTGTTCGATACATGGACAACTTGGACACTGTCCAAAATTATGACTGGACGGCGGCAATTTTGAACACGCTTATGGGATCTGTCTGTGAATTTTGGCAGACTTCGGAGAAAGTTATGGGCTGTGTTGTTGCGCTACTGGTATGTTGTTTATGTTTAATGATTTTTTTCATTGGCTGATGTCATGTGTGATGAACGTTGCCGATGTGTGAATTTGTATATTATTTGTTGAATATGTTGTTGGTATCATGTAGAAATTGATGTTGTATTTGTGCATGCACAGTACTAGCTTTGTGAGCATACAAACATCGTGTCCACGACTAAACCCATAATCTTCCCCCGGTTTCTGAAATGGAACATTACCACACTGTTGGCCAAAACGCATGGCTTGGATTTGGGGTCTGTGTCACAGTTTAAGGTGCGTCAGTACGAGTTTGATGTGTGTTAGTTATGTGGGTGTGTTTAAATTGAAATTTTGTTTATGTTTTTTTGGGTGGTAGTACATAATTAATTTTTGGTTTTTTTGTGGCAGGTGAATAGGGGCAAACTTGTTAGCCAACCATACGAAAAAGTTATAATAGCTGGAGAAGAGTTTGATAGTGGGGAGGACGCTAATATTGATGAAGATCGAGAAGTAGGTGGAGAATACAATAGCAATGGTAGTGATGATTTTTGTACTGACAGTGGGGCCGGGAACAATGTTAACATGGGTGTTTGTGGGTAGAGTCGGGGTGGCTGTTAAACGCAACGTCAGGGGCAGTAGTGATCATAGACGATCTACAGCGGAAGGGGGTGTGGTTGAAAAGGGTAAACACAGTGTTGCGGTTGATGGCGTAAGTTCAGTGATGGGGGATGTTGGTGGTATTGTATGTGCGACACGGGTGGAACGGATTGGTGATGGCCAGGGGGAACTGGAGACGGCGTTAGCCGAGTTATACGCACTTCGGACGGAATGTAGACTTAAAGATGGTATGATTACGGAGTTGCAAGCAGAGGTGGACCAGCTGAGGAGGATGAAAGAAAAACAAGCTGTTGATATAGTTGGTGGTTTCACCTTAGTTTTCAAAGTAAAGGAAGATGAGATGAAGAAGGTGGTGGAGGAAAATGTTGAGCTACGGAAAACGATAGGTGTTTTAAAGGAGCAGTTAGCTGAACAAGATGTACACAACGTGACACAAGCATTTCGTAAGGTCGCTGATGGCGACACTAATATGGGGGGAGGCAACGATGTTGGAAGTAAGGAAGGGGCTACAGTGGATAGTGTTAGAAAGTAGGGGAATAATGTGTTGAAAAAGGGTGACAATTGTGGGGGTGTGTATGAAGTGACAAGTGGTGTGTTGGTTGAAGTTAGTGGGAATGGATCTGATGTAGTTGAAGTTGCTAGGTGTGTGACGAGTAGAGAAACTGTGGAGGGGTGGAGAGCTCGTTTGTGAGGAACCTGAAGGGTAAGGTGAGGAAGGAGCTTATGAAGCCAGATTTTGAGTACGGGGGTGTGGGTAAAATGATGGTGGGGTGTGGTAAGGTGGTGGACAGTAAGGCGGTGGATGCCATACGTACCGGTGTGAGAAGTGGGAACGTTGGACGGTATATTGATGTGGATGCATGTGCAGTAAGGAGCAGGGAGTGGTCTGGGTTTGATTTGAACAATCGTTTAGGGGTGTGGAAGTTGATGACTACAGTGGAGAAAGAGAAGATCAGACACACGTATGACCAAGATGGGGACAGGTATCTAATGTGCGGGTGATAAAAATAAAATTGGGTGTGCGTGTATTTCTGTTTAACATGCATTATGTGTTTTACTTGTAGAGCGGTGATGTGGGCTAGCAGTGGACATGATGTCTGTGTGTACTTTGCGGATATTAAGTCGCTTGTTCAGCCATCTTCATTGCGTGGCAATGTAAGTAACTGGTGTAAAGTTGTAATGTTATTGTCTGAATGTGTATTTTGTTTGAAGTTTACCGTTTTGTGGCAGGTGATAGATGCTTACGCAGTCTTGTTGATGGAAGAATAAGATAGACTTGCTGTTGGAGTGGAGTTCCCGGACAAGTCATACGTTTTTAGTAGCATATGCCTTGTGAGTTTTTAAAGTTGTTTCTAAAGTTACATTGGGAAGCTTTGGGGTGCATGGTTAGAACGATTAAAATTTTATAATCTAACTGGTGAAATAATGATGCAGGACATGTTAAAAAATGATAACAGTAATGCACGGGACAGGTTCGTACTGGAGAACTTCGAGGCATGTAAAGATTGTCGGTACGTCCACTTCCCTATTTGTTTCCGAGCACACTGGACGTTGGTTGTTTATAACACTGAAACGGGTGTCTGGAAACATTACAACTCTATGAGGCCCCGGGTTGGAATGGAAGACAAGCACTTTAAGGAGGCAGTTTTTGTGGTGAGTGAAATGTATCATTATATGTGTGAGGTTGATGTGTTTTTATGTGTATTCGTTGTGTGTGTTTGGTAATGGTAGGGTATTGTTTTACAGAGAGATACTATTCGTGAAATCCAGCAGGGCGCAGTTGGCGAATTGGGCGATGATGACGAAACGCAGTTTGGTGAAATGGGTGTGGAGGCAGTTACTGACTGCCCGCAGTAGAAACATGACTCGTACGTGTATTGTCCAGATTAATTTGATAGTACATACATAAAATGTAATGTGGTATATGGTTTGTTGGAGGATTTAATAAGTTGTGTGTATTTGTGTTGTCGCTCGTTGTAGGGAGGACTGCGCAATCATTATGTGTGCTGTGATGCGTCAGTATGTACATCATGTTGACGTCAACAGATCGTTGCAAGGTGATAACTGCGTCATATTGCGTGCCAACATGGTTAAAGGGTTTGTGAACGACCATGAAAGGGGTCTGAAAGATAGTGCATGAAGTATGAAACTGTTTGGGTTTTGTAAATGGGATTGATTTGCCGGTTGGGTTTTGATTTAGCAATGTGGTGGCGCTACGTTATATACCTATTTTTTGTGGGTTATTTTCTGCACAGGGCTGAACATATTTTATTAAGTTTGTGTTAGTTATTGTGAATGTTTTGGTTGGATTTAACGTTGACTATTAAATTGTGAATAACAGTAATTACAGATGGATGTTATGCGATTGTGTGTTATGTTACATTTGACATTGTATGTTGTTCATTTACTGCTTGGGATTTCCGTGTGTTGAATATGTTGTGTTTTGTTCAGTTACAGGTTTTGAAGTTTGTATGTTGAACATGTATGTTTCATGAAAGTGGAACAGGTATTAACTCGTTGTGTGATGGTGGATGAATAATATTGCTTTCAGCATGTAAAC